GATTGTTAGAGGTTACATATTCAACCGTTTTGACCCGAGTTGTAAATTTTTGACTCGGTTGAACCGTTTTGACACGGATGACACGGTTTACTATAACCCGGTTCTAAACTCTAGCATTCTTAACCTTTTTTTTTTTTTTTACTTCTGGACATTATACAACATAAGAACACGAGCGTGACCAACGTGATTTTCCGGATTATAGTTTATTATTGGTAGATTTAATTTAATATAATAACCGACTAAGTCATATCAAAATTATCGACTCGGCTAGGCTTATAAGTTTTTAATCGACTAAAATCACTAACTACAGGCTCCAAATACTGCTGATTAGCGTAATATCTATTTGAACCAACATATGATTGACGCGAATGCATATAATCTCTTTCCCTTTCTGCCATCATCATCTGCTGACGTTGTTCCATCAGCCTCCGTTCGCGTTCTCTATCAAATGCTCTCTCACGTTCTAATTCTGCATTTCTCGCTAATAGCCCTGACCCTATGGCTTTTTTATGTTGTTCTCTCGCCGTAATAGCACCCACTAACCCAGTTTGTGGGTCTTTTGGCTTGTCTTGTAAATTAATTAAAGGCGCACCAGTTTCACGAGCCATCTGCTCCTGCTCACGTGCAGAAGGTTGGGATTGAGGCAAAGAGTCCAGAAGACTATTAGGACGAAAATGGTTGGGTGCTGAGAACAGATTTCCACGGTCGTCTAAATACCCTTCATCTTGAGATATAAATTCACGAGAATAATCCATTTGTCCACCGCTTACGCGACGCCGGCTTGAAGGAATATGCCCAGGACCGACCAATGATCGAGGGCGACCACCCATACTATTTGAAAAGCTACTATAGTCATCATCATAGTATTCGACACTACGATGATTCATAACGTTTCGTCTATTATCTATAGATGGGTAATTTATGTTATCTACATAATGGCCGTTGTGATTTTGATATTGGCCCCATCGTTGACCTGGGGGATAATTAGGAGATGCAGACCTTGAAGAAGCACCAAAGTTTGATCTATTAAATCTAACTTCGTCAACTAATATTGCAAGTGGCTCCTTCTCTTCATCACTGCTACTGGCGTCACTTGATTTCGTTGATTGATTGGCTATTATCTTCTGTTTATTCTTTCGTTTAGTCGGTTTAAATACTTTATTCGTCCTATTAATAACTTCGTCGTCAGAGGTTTCTTCCTCAGAAGTTGATTCCTTAAGCTCCTTTTTGTCATTAGTACTTGATACTTTTATTTCTCCCACCGTTGTATTAAAAGATAGTGATTCGAAATCCAAATTTAAATTGACATCTACACTAGGCAAATCGAATTGATAACTATCTCGATGTTGGACACCTAGTTTTTTGTTAAATAGTGAAGATCCTTTAAAATCACCTTGATTACCAAGTGATTTATTTTTAATTGGTTGAACTGCACGAGCCTCGTTCTCTGATTCTGATTCTTCTTCTTTCGTTCGTCGGCCTTGGAATTTCGACCGACTAGATCCATACGGCTTCAGTAGCCGTACCGGTTGTGAGTGCATTGCTCCTTTATGTTGATCTTCGACTGACTCCTCTTCTTCATTATCACTACTATCTGACGGTTGAGGAACCGTCCTTGTATGTCTTTTACTCCTTGGGTTTACATTAACCTGTATATCTTTATTTTTGTCCATAGTCATGTTGTCTTCACTGCTTCCATTGTCACTGTCGTTTTCATCGCTATTTGTTCCTACTGATGAAAGCTCTTCATTATCTTCACTTTCTGATGGAAGTGGTGCCACTTTTTGCTTATGATTCGTGCCCGACTTTTTATGTTGATTTTTGAATGATACATTTCTTTTAGGTTTATATTGTTTCTTTAAAACATCATTAGTTTCTTCTGATGATTTGACATCATTCCGGTCTGTTACAGCACTCATAATCTCTAACATAAGATCGCCACCACTTAAAGAATTAAAACTTGATCCTAATTTGATATGTTCATCAACCATAAGAGCTAAATTATTTTCACTGTGTTCTTCAGCAACCTTTGCGTTTTCTTGTGTATTTTTTAGAACTGCTGGATCATTATGGTCATTTTCGCCATCACTATCTGATTCCTCACTATCACTCTCCAATTGGTCACTATTTTTCCTGCTATCTCCTTCCGATTCGTCACTACTTGCAATTTGCTTAGGCTTTTTACCTTTACCTGAAGTCAATCCATCATTTGCTAGAGATGATACAGGTACAGGTTCTTTTGGTGTACCTTGTGCAGAAAGTTTATAAGTTGATTGTGAACTCGGGCCAGAAGTTGATTCATTTGACATTGCTCTTTGGCGTGTATAATTATCAGCCAATCCATCAGTAACAATTTGTGGTGGTGAGCTTAAGGTTTTTGGTATATTGGAGGATTGCTGCTGATTAAGAACAAAAAGAGCTTGCTGAGATCCATCTTGATGTTGGTATGATTGTCGTAACACTTCAGCGAAGGCGGCCTTAACATCAGCCAAAGGTTCACGCATATCTAAGTGCTCTACTTCGTGAAGGTCAAGAAATAGCTTCACATTATTTCTCCCAGTTGGAACAGCAAAAAAAGGAGAAATTGGATCTTTAAAATCATATAATAGTTCTTTTGGTCGACCATACATTTTGAAACCATCGAAAAAGCTTATCACCCATTTTGCCATCTCATTAGTGGATTCAGCTGATAAAATGACAAAATCTCCGGGTTTACTTTCAGTTGGCTTTGCTGGAAAAAGGGTTCCTTCAACACGGAAAGAAATAGTTTTATCAATCATCGTAGGATTTTCAGGGTAAATTGCATAAGTTTTAAGAACATTGGCTAGTGTCATAAAAGGTTTTTTTGATTTTTTTGTCTCGTAGAATAAAGCTTGACCTCGAGTAAAAGCCAAATCAGCTTTCTTTTTTTTGTCCTCAGCTCGATGATCAGACACAACTACCCAATATTTTTTCGGTTCATCGGTAGAAGTGAACTGTACTTGAAGGTAACCTTCCAATTTCCCCTTCACTAACACTGTACCAGTAAGAAGCTCTCTCAACCCCGTACGTTTTAGTAAAGTTGCAGTGTAAACTTCCTGCAATCTTGAACCTTCATAACATGACAAACGGATAGCGCTAACCCACAATTTAAGCAACGAATCATCTGCGGCCTGAAGATAAAATTTGTCACCTGGACCAGCACTAAGTAAAAACGCGTTATTCCTCTGTGATCCATCATCCAACCCCGAAGAACAAATATCCGTGGAATAATTAGATACATTTATAACAATTGGAGTTTGGACGACCTCTAGCTGACCTGAATCAGAGTTATTTTCTATTTTCCAAAGGCTTAGAATAGGACCACACAATTCCGCATAAAATTCTGTCCATACAGTACTATTAGGTTGACTACCTTTATTAGATAAAATATCCTGTCTACATAGGTAACCCTCCATATAAAGCTTTCTTGAAAAAACATCAAACAGATGTAATACCGGACGCATATCCGGAGTTATTTGGTCACCCTGAAAAGAAGTTTTTCGTGGGCGTGATTTTCTAAACAATGGAGGTCGTTGAGTTGATGATCGAGGACCTGGTGTATATGAATTACTCACGCCAAAAGCGGTTGAATCGTTGTGAAAAGTTTGCTGTGCAGACATTCTTACTTTCACTCTTTTTTCTTATAATAAAAATATAAAACAAACGCTTCTTAGCTAACTTCCGAATTACTTAACCGTTACTCGAATTACTTTGGTAGTTTATATCTCGGGAAGATATTTTTTCGATTTTTCTTAGTATCTGTGCCAATTCGTATCTGTGGCTGCAAATCCAGTATTTTGCGCTAATATGTCTTTCATATTGTGCAACACCCCGTGTCGATCATCCAATCAAATTAAAGCCCGTTATGTTGGTGAGCTGTGTAATTTTTATTAGTGAAACATCACATTCTTAAAAAGTATTGTAAAACATACAAATTAGTTACCCTTTTACAGCAGGCAAACCTTCTGCCCATTGCTTATACATATACATCTTAATACGTTATTACTTATTTTGGTCCACGTTTTAAAATAATTATACATATACAGAAGACAGAAGATTATATTGGTAACCGATAAGATATAAATAGTGTTCAATCTGGTTTTAATTTGCACGCACGTACAGTAGGCATCAAAAGTAACGCCCGATATATTTTTCGAAAAAAATTAATAATTTTTACGCACCCAAAAAATGACAACCTTCGTTACACAACCTTTTCAGATTTCCAAGTCGTCCGCCGTCAATCACATGAAATCAAATGATTGGTTATTTTCTAACACGTGATAATTGCCAATCACATTGATACCGATTTTTAAAATTTTTATTTTACTATATATATATAGATATAAGATATTTCACGATCTAGTAAATATAATATGAAAGGGTGAAATCCGCGCAGAGGTGATAACTTTCTTGATGCGGATCTATACTTAATTAGGGCTAGTTACTATTTTAGATAAACCGTTTTGCAGGCAAATCATTATGTCAACCTCAGTAATATGAATACTGGGCATACTAATTGCATAGAGCTTTTAGCTGATACTACTTTTAGCCATTTTTAATAGCGCCTTGTCTTTATTTTCTCTTCGGCTTGGTGAAATAACCCCTGTAAAAGTCGCATATGTATAAATTATGTGCTGTTATCGGTTACCAATATAATCTTCTGTCTTCTGTATATGTATAATTAT